GTTTGCTGGAAAATATTCCTGGAAAAACATCGTGCGCCAATCAATGCATTACTATCAAATCTTATCCTGGACAACCAGAACCGAAATGGACAGGGACTTTGTAATGTTTCAAGATTGAAATCCCTGAATCATCCCTGTAAGAATATATAAATTCGAGGTTTTTTTGGAAGAAAAGAAACTGATAAGATTTATCGCAAAATTATGGACTGTAACACCGACAAACATGCATGTGTTCTCTGTAGAAACCACACATACTTGTGAACAGAACCCCCCCCCCCCCCCCTAATATTCAATATTTCTTCATAAATTAGCCGTCCTAACCTGTGATTTCTTGCAATCTTGGTACAGTTTACAAAAGTTCCATGGGGTCTGGTTTGCGAGTTGCATATGTAAGGACAAAGGCAACACCAGATTACTGAGGAGTTTCTCGTAAATTTCCCCCCATAGAACGTCTTACCCTTTGTCAGAGAGGGCCAGGACTGGCTTCCAACTAAACGTGATGATGACATTAACGCGAAACAGTCACTTTCCGGTCAGGTTATTTGTCCTGCCACCTGTTCAATCGCCACCTAACTACCACAAAACCCGCTACCATTACAGTAGACTATCATAATCATTACATTCACCCCAAAACTGAAAGAAACCAATTGCGCAATTTGAGTTTTTGAGACGGTCAGCTTACATTTGTGTTCTCCTCACTGGCGCATTGTAATAATTTTTAAGGTCTTCCGTCTCCAACGGAAGACCTTATTGTTTTCGTTCGGTTTCTTTTTCCCTATTATTATTAAGGTCTTCCGTCTTCACGGAAGACCTTATAGTTATTCTATTGTTTCTTATTATTATTCTTTTTTTTTAGACAAAATTTTGTGCAGACGATTTCTCGTAAACTATTCGGTGGATTTCAATGAAAATTTCAGGAATTATAGGTCATTATATGAATTTTATATAAAATTCCGTTTGTTGGAAAATTCGCTACCAGTGCCAAGTTATGGGCAATTTCCTGATTTTAAAATGCAATTTTGTCTTCGAATGTTCTCGAAAACGGCTCAAGATATTAACTGGAGACTTGTTAGAGATGATAGACCATGAGTTATAGATGTGCAATTTTGCCTTCGTTTGCGTCGTCAGTACTTCCGGTCGCTACAGGAAATGAATTCAAAATGTGCACTTTTTCAACTTTTTTTGTTTTTCAATATTTTTCTTTGATATAATTAATGGTAATTAAGATCCTACTGGAAAGGCCAAATATATAATTTATTTAAGAATTGATCAATCCACACACTAGATATTCGCATTTAAAAATCTGAAGCGTGTTCAAGATGGCGGCGGTCTCCGTAAACTCCGCCATTAAGCAAGTCGGGTTCTAGAAGGTCAGCTGAGCGTTTAGATGAACGAAACTTCTACAAAAAAGATTTATGAAATGTAAAGGATTCTTTAGATTGCTACATCGCAATTACGTTGCATTGAGTATAGTTTTTATATGAGGTTTCCTCAAACTTCTATTGAAATTGCTTTTGTCTGCATCTCATAGTAGAATACAACATGACTACAAGTGGAAATACGATGAATACAATCTTTTGTTTTGCACCAGGGAAAACTTATCCTAAACCATGGTTATAAGTAATAGCTTTTCAAGAAACTTGCCTGACTTAATATTCACTATGTTTCTGAAGTATTACTTGACTTCTGTTTATTTTACCTCGCAGTCTTATGACATATTAAATGAATAGAAAAGACAAAAATAAGAAAAACATTTTTTAAAAAAGATTGTTTATTAAAGGTAATATAAATATTCTTGTAATAAATGCAAGTTATTGAACATGAAGAGTATCAGATTCCTTGACCGTCGGAGGGCGAGTGAATTTTTTTTTTCAGTGAAACATTCCAGTCTTTTCATGAACGTGTAACTCATCTCCACTTTGGGGGTAAACAGGATACAAAATTCGTGGAAAATCTCACCGAATTCACAGCTTTAGTGTTACTTGGCCGTCTACGATATTATATTTGTACCATGTGATAAATATACTTTCTTACGCTCGAAATTCCGGTTATAAGAACATACATTTCTAATTTTCATTGAAGCTATCAGATCCATTATATAGATCAAGCATTTCAAAGGAATAGCGCGAAGAACTACTTGTGACGTTTGGCACGAAATAATATATCATGGCCGACTTCAGTAGTAGACAAATGGCGACAATACTGCAGAAATATATAACATTGGCATGCTTGTATATGGTTTTGCATGGAATAAAAAGTTGAAAACATATCGAATAAAGGAAAGAAAACAGTATCATCTGTTCATCACTAATAGATTATCTATCCTAAAAATTACTGTTAAAACTCAAGTAACAAGTTCCGATGTGATCATCTTGAGCAAGTTTGGCGCGAAGATTAACTCGTGGCGTTTAACGTAAAATTATGAATAGTGACCGCCATTCATTATTCTAAGACAGATGAATTGTTTCAGAAGTAATATACAAGTAGATTTAGAGATGTGGTCCCAATAGCGTAACAGTAAGCGCTTTATATTTCCATGCTGGCGACCCGGGTTCAATCTCCTTTGTTTCCATAAAAAGTTTTATCACTTTTTCAGCTCGATTTTGCGAAAGGGGGGGGGGGGGGGGTCAGAATCGGACGGAAGACCTCTCGTTGCTCGCAACGAGTTTCTTTTGTAGTTATTATTATTATTATTTTTTTTCTTACCGATTTTGTGCACGCGATTTCTCAGAAACGGCTTTCTGATTCTCACCAAATTTTCAGATCTAATAGATATTTATCTGAACCTTGTCGGAAATTTTTCGTAAGTACGTCGTCACTTCCGGTCGTGAGATATGGACGATTTACTGATTTTTAGAGGGTCAGCTTGTCCTTATTATCCTAAACGACTTAAGATATCGATCGAGATTTTCAGTGAAGGTAGAGGAAGGATAGTAGATGTGACATTTTGCATATAGAGCTTTCCAGGTAAGAAGGCATCGACGCTCGCCTGGGATCGAAAAATAGCCTCATACTCATCTCGCAAAAATTGACACGTTTTCTTTTATATCTTTTTACCTGTTAATATTTTGTTAAGACATATATAATAAAAAATGTGCAATATAGTAAGACCTTTCATTTGATATCAAGTAAACGGGTTTAGTCCTTCAAATTAGGGGCATAGAGGGGCTGATATAAATCTAGTCTTTAACTTTTTTGTTTTTCAATATTTTCAAATGATATTAGTATAGTTGATAGAAACATTTCTTATTAGGTTGAATATATAATTCGTTTGTAAATTTATAAATTCAAATCGAGATATCAACATTCAAAAATCTGAAGCGGGAACTAAATGGCGGCGGTCTCTGTCAATTCAGACATTTCGCAATAGCGGTTAACAGAGGCAGCCGAGCGTTTGCTTGAAGGAAAGTAACATAAGGAGCAATGAAATGTGTAGGGATACTTGGATTGTCACGTCGTAGGTAATTCTGTGTCAAACTACATTCACAATCCAAGGTCTCCTTACAAGTTTTCTTTAATTGGTTTTGGTTGTTTCTCAAAGTAGAAAAAAGAAAAGAATTAATGTGCAAATTAAGTACGCATTGATGATATTATCTAAATCAAAAGGATTTAATCAAAAGAGAAAAGGCATGATTCTATGATGTTTTATCAAAGATCATAGTCAAAGTCATATCTCATCTTATCGAAAATTCGGACGGAAGACCTACTCGTTGCTTGCAACGAGATCGCATCTAGTTATTTATATATTTCTTTCTTAGATTTAGATATCTAGGACACTGGAGAAGGAAATGAAATTCATCTTCTATTTAAGAAGGCTGGGGGGTCAACAAATTCATCACAAATTAACCACCAGATTTAACTTATTTTTTTAGATACGGTATCTTAAGCTGTCAAAGTTGGCAAAGAAAAAATTCCTACATTTTAGTTTTAAAATTTGATCATTTTTGTATATCTTTATATGGAGCTATTCTTTTAAAGGAGAATGAAATATGCAAAATGGCTGCCACCCCCAGCCTCTTTAATGACTATCAATAACACAGTATATTCTATCATCTCTGCTCTTGCCTGGTACCTTCCGCATTCTATGTTAAGATAATATGACGAAATTCAAGTCTGATGCGGGAAATGTGCTTTTGTAAATTGATTTGAAAAGGTCTTGTTAAATAGGGTTGCATTTTACAGAAATTGGATTGGACAATGTGCTTATGTAAAAAACATTTTGTCGAATTATCCATAAATGCATTGCACTCTTGGATATGAATATCTAGGATTCTGTTTTTATATATATGCACGAAATGAGCAAAGTTTAATACTTGTTGATTCATCATGAAATTGATTTAAATATATACATGTACATGTAACCAACATGGGAAGCAATTTTACAAAATATTTAGGACTAAAACAATGAGACCACCATTACAGCTTTTGACAGAAAAAATACATCTATTAAAATGTATCTTTTTTTCTAACTCTGACTTTTTATTGAATACACTGTACCTTATTATAAAGCATTAATTTAACTTTGATTAGCATATTTTTGATAAATCAGTCTTATTAAATTTCTAACCAATAATAGATTTTTAATTATCAAAGATTGATCATAGGTCAATAAAAAGCTCTTAATGTGCAAGACCGCGGAGCATTAACTGGTAAGATTAAAAATATGCAGCTTACGTCATTTCTATCTGTTACAATCAAAACATTCAATGATAGACAATGAAACACGGGCGGGTACATTTTGTATTGTTTTATTAACTTTGATATTGAATACTGTTCGTTATCTCCATGTACAATATTTTGAATCGCTGCAGTCTCCAAGATTCCATGCCGTCATTGAACGGCAATGCCGAACAGCAAAGGTTAGAAAGGGGTAACATTGTTTATAATATATGAAAGTAAAAAGTATAATCAGCAAATATTTAGATTTTTTAGAACCTACATATATATCAGTAATATAATCTTGTCATTAAAAAGCCTTTAAGATCCAAGCAAGAAAATACCAGAGCAAATAACAGAAGCTGCTTGCGAAGTTTCCATTATTCCAGATACAAGCAGTTTGCAGTCAAACAAAGTGGGTTCGTTCCCATCACAATTTGCCGTAGAAAGCCACTGGTGTGAATTTTCTTGGTGAAATATACTCGATTTAACAGCAAATCCAAAGCGACTGAAAAGACATTGATACACAGTATAAGGTACCTGTAGTAAAGGTTTGGCAAAATGTCCGATCTTTTCAAATATGAAGTAACAAAACTGATAATTATTGATACCTTGAAAAAAACTCGATATTATAATACTTTTCTTTCAAAATTAACTATTTGGTGGAATTATTATTGTTGTAAAGATCGTGTGAATGTCAAATATTTTAAAATGTTTTCATTTTATTCTGGGGTTGGACGTCACTTCCAAGTTTTGAAGTATATCGATTTTATGAACAGTTTCAAGCTCAAGAAGGAGTATAGCAAACACAGACCTCTATAATATCAGAGGTTGGGTCAGGTGCCATCAAACCCGCCCTGTGCTCATTGTCATGATCGAAAAATAACCGAAAAACCCGTCGACAATTCAGTGTGTAAATAATAGCCTAACAATATATAATTATGAAAAACGTGTCAGCATTTGACCGATGATAAGTTGTATTTGCTGACAAGGTCATTGTATCGACCAAAGAACTTACGAAAAAAGATGACTTTTAAACAACATCACTGATATTCTTGTTTCATCAAATGTCAGTAAGTTACCTCGTTTTAGAAATTGTACATATGAAGAGTATGCTCTTCGTATCGAATAAACTGATAAATATAAACCTCGTACATGTATGTATGTTGCTGAATCAGTAATGGAAGTTGACGATTGGAAAGTTGAAGTCCTCACGTTTATCATAAAGCTTGGTTGTTAGAATACCATTAACATCTTTTTCAAAGAAAATATCCAAAAATGAAACAGATCTGTCGGATTCGAGTATTGTTATGCTCAAACTGACCTGAATATAAAGATGACATTAAAATAGAAATAACCATTCTTAGTTGACAGTACGTTGTCGATATATCTAAATGTCGAGTTGAAAGCCACGCGTATTAGATTTTTGAGACTACTACTTTTTTTAATTTACCCTACTGTGAGAATCTAAATGTAAAATGAAAACAAAATAGCAAACTTGTGTCCCACTACCTCGGTTTTTGTAAATGTCTGCACACCGACTTTGCTGCGTTGTTTTCCCAGTGGGTTCAATCTCGATATCTATCCGCCAAGAAGACCTCCACAACACCTTGAGAAGTAGTATTCCCAACCAGTCTTACCATAAAACTCTCCCTGTCTATAGTTATAGACTTTTGTAAGGAAATGTCCATAATATTCAACTTGGGTTTTAATTTTTTACTTTGATCTTAATTGCGCTAGAATTCAGTATAGAACATCATTTCTTTATAGGAAAAGAATCTTTCAACAAAACAATGTACAATCTATATCTTTAAGAATTATAACACATTGAAATTATCAATTTATATAATAAATACAATTGTATATTCCTTCATATTTTTACTTACAGTAAATCTCTCATGAGTTCTACATGCATAAAACGTAGTTGCTTTGTATTTAAACAACGCACTGAACACAACACACTGTTTACCTTGACAAATGAGCCCTGCATCTTTTATTCGGTAATCGGAAAACCCGTTTATGGACAAAGGACACTGTAAAATATTTAGCTCGTTCCCTGTACATTTAAAGTCCTTGATCCAGACTCTGTAATCCAGGTATCCAAAGAACTCTGACTGTACGGCCAAAGCCTTTCTCCTACGTAATTTTAAATATGCAACGAAATACTGGAAAAATTCACAGGTTTTCTTGTTTAATTTCCTCTTTATTAAATATTTGAGATGTTAGGATACTTTGGATTTATTCTGCTAAAATCTTCAAAATGTATAACCTATTATTCATGTTAAGTAATATAATTTCTTGGTATACTTAATGCTGAAATTTAAAAAAAATCCCCTTACGAAGAAAATCCAAGTTGTTTACACGCAACAGTTGCCTCTTCTTGTCCCCAACCGTCTGCATCTAAAGTTCCCCATTCATTTTCCAGGAAAAACCGTACAGTTCCATACCAACTTCCATTATATATTTCTAATACGTTTTCAGCTACATCTGTATAAACAATTGATCATTTAAAGCGAACTGTTCTGTTTTCACCGATCATTATAATTGTACGAGAGAGAGAGAGAGAGAGAGAGAGAGAGAGAGAGAGAGAGAGAGAGAGAGAGAGAATTGTACGAGAGAGAGAAGAGAGAGAGAGAGAGAGAGAGAGAGAGAGAGAATTGTACGAGAGAGAGAGAGCAGACCTGCACAAATAACACCAGCTTCTATTCTTGGAAAAAATTTGTTTCCCAAGACTTCGACATTACAGCTTAAGATCTGTGCATCTGAGGAACAGGAATCCTTTACTTTAATCCAAGTTAAGGTTGGTGTTACACCATAAAGGGTGTTATTTACAGCTAGACCAGTTTTCCTGAAAAGAAAACGAAGCATACCTCTGTATAACTGCTACAAATGTAATGCTTTAGTATACCATAATATTCATATAAACAAGCAGAGGCTGCTTTATAACGCATCCATATTAACAAAATTTACACAAGAACATTATGTCTTTTAGATGTCAACATCATGCCTACTGCATAGATCTTAATCTTTTTTAACATTAAGTAAATTACAAAAAATAATAAGCATTAGCTTTTTATAAAAGGACAAAAGAAGGACTTGTATCTTAAAAAGGTATCCCAAATTTTTAATGCTCCAAAATTACAATATCAAGAAATACAGATGTTAATGCTGTCTCTCTGCATTACCCCTTTATATCCAATTTTGCAAACAATATTCGCTGTTGAATGCGTCCAAGTGCTTGCGTCAATTCCTCCCCATTCACCGTCCAAATAGACTTCCACTCTTCCTGCGGTGCTTCCATTGTTAAGGCGAACTCTAAATTCCGCATAATCTATTTAAAAAAGCATATCAAACATGGGTCAACTTAATTAAGGATCGACAAAAACATGTCAAGTCCAGTTATACCTATAATTGTGCAAAAATGTCTGCGTCAAAAGTTCGAACTAAATTCTTTATTTTGATTTTATATGGATATAACTTGTTAAATTCACAGGTCCACAGGACTTAGCTAAAACAGCGTTTTACTGTATACTGTAATTTAAATGTTGAATTAGTGATTTTTTTATAGCTTTAAGCTTACCAGTGCAGACTACACCTTCCAGTTCATTGCCCCGTTACTACGTTTGGACAGTCAATGAGATTGATTTCTGTTCCGTAGCAACTAACTTGAGTCAACCATTCCCAGTGGCTGAATCCGTAGACGTCATTTACAACTGGTAACGCTCTAGAGCTGAGCATTGAAAGAAAGCTGATGTTTAAAGAGCTCTCTTAAGCTTGACTGTGTGTGATAAAATGTGATAAAAAATATGAGGTTTACATAAAACATCGAAGACGATGTTTACTAAGCATGATATAAAAATTTATTTGCTCCATCTCAAGTAAGATTAGATATTCTACATCTTCTCAATGATAACATCATATTGGATAAAACTTGTACCCAATTAGTTTTACAAATCAAATCAAAAGAAATTCATGAAATACATGGATACGCTTTGTTTCTCCATTTTTTCAAAAAAAAAATCTCTGAACGAATTTTCTAATATTGCGTTTTATATCACATCTCTGAACAATATAAAGGTATATATAAGAATATATATCGCAGACTATTTGAGGTTCTTACAAGGGTTTCTGTAGATGTTTACAGAACAATGAAGCTGATTTTTCATTCCAGGCTTTTTTGTTGATTCCTCCCCACTTTCCATCAATTTGAATTTCAACCCTACCTGCAGATGTATTCGACGCTAATCGATAGTGTACACTAATTAAATTACAAAAGATAAAAATGAATTATATTTATATATATGTAACCAAACTATTTTATTCAATTCATTTTACCGAATACAGTACTGAATTTAACACACAACTGATGATTACATAAATTAAATAAATCTAGTGGAGTACCAGTTTATCAATTTTATCTCTATCAAAGCATTACAGAATGAAGCCAGATAAGTGATATTGTTAAAAATAAACAAAATTATAGCGAATTTTATCAAAAATTTAGTGTCTTCTAAAGCCTCTCATTATTATTATTATTATAATTATTATATCAATTGTTCATAGAGCAAATTAAGCTTTATAGAATGTTTTCCCATTTTGATACAGTCCAGTAGTGATTGTTCACTACCTAAACAGTAGGTGCTCTATCCAATTCAAAGAATATATGGAACCAAACATGCTACTCCTAACATATATATGTGAAATGACAATAAAAACTTTATGAACTCTTTCATTATACCAGTGGAGAGGATTTTAAAGAGTTTCAAAAGATCTTATACAATTGTCTGAAAAGCAGAGCTTATGTGAGGTAAAGAGCTCAAAGACTTTGGTAAGCAATTATACCTAAATGTTCTAATCAGATTATGCTTCCCCCTCTTTTTCTTCTATTACATAAGTGAATGTACAGGGCAGTAAAATATAGTTTTGGATAAATTTTATCTAAACTTTAAAAATCATAAAGGATACCTATAACTTCTCTATCTTATCAAACTTTGATAGCTTTAAAATTTTAGTCATGCCCAGCGATTATCTAAAAATATGCACTTAAAATACATTGAAAACTGAATTCATTAATTCAACCTTTATCAAACCAAGTACATTTGTTAACGAAGGGGGTCAATTATATATATTTTCATTGCTTTACACAGGTCGGAGAGAATACTCGAAATCGGGTATTATCCGTGAAAACGCGTATAATACCCGATATTAGAGTATCGTTGAATCCGCGAAATCGGGTATTCCGTGCAACTTTCTATAAAAACTAAAGAATAAAGCAACGGTGCATTATGCCAGTTACTGTTACTTGTGCATCAGTATCTTGTGGATTTATTTTTATTAAACCTAATTCATACGGTTGTCAAATTAGTTTAAAATCACACGGCAAACACTGCTGGGGTAACAAAGAGGACACAATGGCGTTATTATTTTTCAATATAATTTCTAAAAACAAATAACTACACTTCGTTTGTCTTTATTTAATCCCATTAATGTATTCCATACACTTAATTTTCTAATTTGTGCACTATTCACAAAAGTGTGAACTTTAAAGAAATTAAACGACTTACAGCGTGTTATGTATTTTTACTGAAAAATGTATGGCGTCCCTTTCAAGTGAAATATAAATTATTCCTAACAGTAGAGAGTACAGTATAAGCGAGTCATAATTGTATATCTCTGCCATAATAGAATACCAAACGTTATTATAAAGAAGAAAATAAAATAAGATTAAATAAATACCCACGGGAAAACAGGTTGAAAATAGCTAATTGAAGGTGAGTATCTTTTTTTATGTGAATTTAGCATGCAAATTTTTATTCAGAGACACCGTAAATTTTTTGGTTGCATTTTAATCGGTGCAAGATATGCTATTTTACCTTTATTTTATGCATTTGTGTGAAAATTGAGAGTGAGAAGTCATATGAACAGGATTTTCTTGTTTTTTGTTTTTTTTGGGGGGGGGGGATAAATAAAAGTCAAATGTGTACATCTTTTCATGAGCTTATAATACATTGAATTTCTCAATATAGATCGAGGTACAGTCATATTGAAACATGAATTACATAGTCAAGTTTGCACATTTCTTATAGTTTTTACGTTTATGAACATGTTAATGAACAAAATGAAATAATGGAGTGTTCAATTGCCTTAGGAACTCTTGTCTTACTTTTTGGGAATATAATTCCTCATCGGACATTAAAATTTCATAAAAGTCGTAGCTACTTCCTTTCTTTAATATGCTATTTGATAGACAGGGTAAATTTTACCTCTTTACCTTCTATATTTTTTTATATCGCTATCTTATACCTCATTATAATATGCTAATACAACGCACTATCTGATTGGTTGTAGACAATATGTCACAGTTTTCTTTTAGTTATTTTATCTATGATATGTATTACTCATGGCAATAACTTTTCCTAATACTCATCTATAATGAAAAAAATTGTTTAAAAAATAAAATTCTAGTTGTTTATAGTCTCATATTGTGTTAGAAAATAACAGGTTGCTTTTTGTTTACCTACAATGTATATGATTTTTATTTGATGAATAAATCTTCCCTACGATCAAAAATATATGACCGAGTTTAACCGACCGTGACATTCAAAGAGAGGTCTCTTGGACCCATGTAGAACACAGTCGAGGTTGTTTTGTCAGAGGTGGTTAAGAAGCCTTTAGCCCCCCCCCCACCCCCCTTTTGAAGTCGCCAAGAAATGAGAAAATATTGATAACTTAGCGAAATTAAACGATCAACAGTTATCTTCTCTCACAAGCTGTATTCCTGAAACTATCACTGTCTCTGCTAAAATGTTGAAGACATATTCTGCAAATATGTTTGAATGATAAATAAAAAAGAAAAGATTTTCAAAAACAAAAAGAGAAAGAGGGTTCTTTTAGCCGAAATTTTAGACATTTTTATCATTGCATTATTTATACATTCATACATAAATTTGATTTTATGCACAAGATGAATGTGAAAGTAATCAATGACACATAATTAGATACGATAGACAACCCCTTGTATATACTAGTACATGGCATCATATCTGGTGTGTGAAATGTGTTTCCGTATTATTTGATTTATTTACAAATTGTTCATGTTTGTCGTGTTGATGTGGAATCATTATAAATTCCCGAATTCTGATACTTTACAATTCTGTTGTGTTGGGAATTAACATTAGGAAAATGTATATACTTTCAACATAAGGTAAAATATAAAGCAAATCGAACGCCTTTTTGTGTGCAGATCATGAAATGTACTGAGCTACACGGGTATTTGTTGTCCCGAGCGCATTAATCTTGAAGCCCAAATTCTTACTTGGCTAATGATACCTTTAGAAAACATGTGTATCTAGATGAAAGTTAACTCGTCAACATGCGCCATCCCATTGTTTAAGTTTTATTAGGTGATTACACCTCCTATACCCGATTTCGCGGATTCAACGATACCCTACTATCGAGTATTATACGCGATTTCAGGGATAATACCCGATTTCGAGTATTCTCTCCGACCTGTTACAAGGAGAATTCCAACTCCCGTTATGCAATTGAAAACGCAATTTTTCTGCAAGTAATAATGTTCGTGATAATTTTCTATTTCCATTTCTCTTCCGTGGCATCTGATTCCACCCATGTTCTCAGAGGTCTGGGTTTTGCCCTTTCTCTTAATCTGTATTTTTTATTTGACTTTTTAAAAATGGTCACTTTTCGTCACAATTTCGTCGCTTCTACTTACTGTGGAAGACCAAGTTGCCTACAGGCCACGGTCGCAGCTCCTTTACCCCAGGTGTAGTGTCTGTAGGGCCGAGTGTGTGTGATAGTGCCCCACAATCCACCAAGGAACACTTCAACATAGCCCCTGTTGGCTGTCTGATTATTCACCAATCTTATCGAAAACTCGTTAATATCTGAAATCAAAAACAAGACATAATTTTCTATGTAAGAATATTGTGGAATTTCGTCCGTCCGTCCGTCCGTCTGTCAGTCTGTCCCACTTTGTTTTCAGCACTTTTTTTTTCAAATTCTTGCAGCTATTGAGCGGATTTTTGTCATGTAATGCCCTGTTCACAACTTATTTGTATATAAGTTAATTTTCGAATTTCTATCCGCTTCATTGATTTTTGACGGAATTATGGCATGTTAAAGCTATATATGCCGTATTAGTGTTTTATTTTAAAAGTAATAAATATATGTGGTGTCTCATCAAGTTATATAAGTTATATACTTTCTGCAAATAAGACAATTCCACTCCATCACTTTTAAAAGTTATGAAATATTATTTGGTAAAAGTTATTTTCTCTCCGTGTCGGATAAAAAACCGCCTCTTATTGAAATATTCATGATCACGTTGTCGCGCATGTTTACAGCAAACAATGGTCCAATCTCGTGAATGAACCGAAATGATGGTCTACTACGTTTTTACTACAAACACGTGAGTTAGGGATTGTCAATATTGAGAGCACCTCAGAGTTGGTTGCTTTTCGTACCGACGAATAATCACGTGCAATTGTCTTTTCAATGGACATTTTCGATCGGATGAACTTCTACAGCTGTTAGCGACTATGGATAAAGAAGTGTGGAAACCATGTTGTGCCAAAATGAAATAACCAATACAAACAAATGATATAATTTGATCAATCAAAATGGTTATTAGATACATTCGATTCTGCATTTCTTAATGGTTCAAAACAACAAAAGTATTCCACAGAATAGCATGTATAAATCTGCACAATATACGAATGCCAAAACCAGAATACTACTAAATAATATAATTATATTCTTTACATATGAATCACAATATTTCTGACCCCTTGAAAATAATATAAAAAATCTTGCAAGTAGGTTATCAGCATTGGCTCGGGCTAATTCGAAAGTGAAATTTGGAGTTTGGCGGTAAATTGTAGTGAATGAATAAAATTTAGTAGTGAAAGATATTGGAACCTATTTTACTTGTCAGATTTCTTCGAGCTAGTTAATTTTTATTCTAATTGTTCTATCCCCCACCCACTTAAAACAAAAAACGATGCTACCTACCTGAATTAATTTTTCTTAATGGTGTTCATCGAAATGCTTGGTTGTGCCCTCATACTGGAATAGTTTTTAGAGGCCTGGAATTCCTTGACCAATTTTATTTTATTAGCCCAACTATATTTCTAAGAAGGCAAGATGTATGGAATGTAAGTTTCATCTACATATGTTATGTAGTTCATATTAAAAAACCTAAAGGGATAATTGACGATATCCCATTCAGGGTGTAAACATAGCAGTTTAAATTACTTTCCATACATTGTATTTGACATAAAATATCTATTGCGCATAATGCGCTCCATACTGAAGATCCGTAAATGTTCACCCAACCGAAAATGTCCACTAGCAGTACAGCACGGGGAAACTCTAAACAAACAGACCTGTACAATGGAGTGGGGTAAACTTTAATTTTCATCATTGTTAATCATTTGTATGCAAATATGAGCATGGAATTAGTAGATAATAATGTACATAATGCATCATGTCTTTCTGAGAGCGATTTAGAAAACTACCTTTTTGAAAAACACATGTAGTATTTTATGTAGTAACCCATAAATGCATTAAATGCAACTCATTGAGCTGATTGGTCTATTTGTGTCCCTCACTGAACAGACGTCACAAAAATATTTTCCTCGACCTGATGATTCTTGCGATGCTTTTCCCGCGCACATGCGCAGATCCAGGATAAACGTCAGTCCTTTATAAATATGCATGAGAATATCGTGTTCTTTTCCTGACCAGTACTTTGTTAATACCAAATAAAACTTCGTCGAATTTGCAAGAATGCTTTATTTTTGGTAACTTATCATACTCCAGAAATTTTTGTTCGGTTTCAGCTGTGCAAAAATACTGTTTAATACGGCATACATATCTTTAAATTATTTTTTATAATTCGGACTACGATCGGGTTCGTGATGCACTAAATTTATGTTCCAGACGAGCTTGTATCCTAAAGAAAAAAAGGGGGGAAAGAATGCTTCTTTAATTTACTGTGGAACTGATTTATTTCTTGAATATCCAATTGTTCTAATAAGGTCATCATCCCATTCGCACAAAATTTTTCTCGGTTTCATTGAAAATTTTAAAATGGACAATTTTCCTTGCCATGATCGGCAAATAAAAATCCGTCGATTTAGTGTGTAAAAAATGGCCTTACAATTAGTATGAAAACCCTTAGTCAGCATTTGACTCAATGAAACTCGTATTGGCTGATAAGGTCATTGTATCGACTATATAACTCACTAAATGATTACCATAAACGAGACTGTTGATATTCTTGTCTCACTAACTTGTTAACCTATAGATTACTTCGTTTTAGAAATTGTTCATACGTAGAGCATGATCTTGCGTATCAAATCAACTGAGAGATGTAACCCCCGTATGCAGGTGATAAGGGTATATTGCTGCGTAAGTAAGGGAAGTTGATAATTGAAAAGTTAAAGTCATTTCGTTTATCATTAGCCTTGGTTAAGTTAAACATCACCGAAATATGAAAAGATGTATCAGATTCTGTGGTATCTTTTATTTTAAGTTCGCTGGGATATACAGTATCGACATAAGACCGGAAAAAACAAGACTCATCATTATATATAACTGCATGATTTTGAAATGATTTTTTTTTTTATTAATTTTAGTTGCCGTGAAAAAAAATAAAATGTCAGTCTTTTTTATAGGATAGATTTTGAAAGAAAGGAGTATTATCAGGAAAACTGACTGCCAAAAAGTAGAAATTATTGTTCAGTAAAAGTGTTGGAGGGAGGTCCCTGGATCCCCTCTTACCACCCTCACCCGAAAATATTATATATTCGCTTATGTTTTATTCACATGAAAAAAAGTAATAGTCGTTTAAATAGCTTTCCAAACTGAACAATCTGTATCAATTTGGAATTTCCCGATCTATTTTTAGATCAATGTTGAGGAAATAAATCCTTGTATTCAACTGGAACGTCACGTGCAGGTCAATACAACGTAGATTTTTCTAACATAGATGAATCTCAGCCAATCAAGGAGATGGAAATTATTCAATCATATAATAAATTTTATTATAAAAGAATTTAAATTTGGCTAATTATCAACCTATCGCGCTGAAATTTTCAACATTTTTTTAATTTTCTTTCCTTGTAAATTGTCTATGCACATACTACATAATATCACTATTATGAGCCAAAAAAAATAAGGACTATTAAACACCGTGTTCATGATATGGTACTTTAAAAATAATATTACCTTGACAAACGACCCCAAAGTTATTTGACTTTGAGAAATAGCCACTTATTGCCCAGGAACACTGATATAAACTGGAAGCATCACTAGAGCAGTACAGCTTCACTAGCCAGGTTATGCTTGATGATTTTCGATAAAATCCCGATTCCACGTAAAAAGCCTTGGTAGATGAACTGAAACAAGAAATTGGCCGTCATTAAGAACCCTCTCTACTCTGCACACCAAAGAGTTCTGATTCTAAGGTATTTTTCTGCGGTTAGAGTGATCTGCCCTTAAATATAAATTCTAAAAAATAGAAATTTTCAATATATTACTCAATATGTAATCAATTCAAGTATTCTTAACATTTTAAAAGGCTAAGATAAATTAACTGAATGTGTTATTTACATGTATTTTCTCTATTGAAGTCATTAACAGTGATTTCTATTTACTGATACAGTGTTGTCTTTTATCATTTTTCCCGGGAGTAAATGCGACGCACCATACATTGAAAATTAAACAAATATGTTCTGACAACATTAATCCTTTTATACAATATATTTTTCCCAATGTCCAAAAAAATCTGCACTTGTGTAGAGAGGTTCCTTAATTTAGATCTCATTTCTGAGAAATGCCATGACAAATGCACTGGACAGAAATATACTGAAACCATTAAAAACCTGATATCATGATAGAAGTAAAGGAAACTGAATATCGTTTGGGAATTAATCAATTATTTCGGGATAAGGCATTGTCACTTAAGCTTTGATTTATCAGTTTATACACAATAAGTAAACAAACCTCGGAGTTCCCAGAATATTACAAATGGCCTTAGCTGTCATGTCTTTTTCGATAATGTACGAAAGTACAGATCCCCACTTCCCATCAATGTATACCTCCACTCTTCCGGAAGTTGGCGTATCGCCATCAACGAGTCTGACCGGAATCGAGTCTGAGAAAAGAAATTTAATTATTTTGGCTGACAACTCTCTTTTATTCAACAAATATTGCACTGCAATTGAAAAATATCAGAATGCTCACACATTACTTCAAAATAAATTTGTTGATAATCAAGTGCTCAACAAAATAACACCGTCAAATATAATCTTGATGTTAAAATTTTGTTCAGAAAACTGACAGTTTTGAAATAATGATTTTTTTTGGTCAATTGAAAAGTAAAATTACCTGCACAAATAACTCCAGCATTGTTTGAGAAAGTTTGTTTTTCTCCTTGCAGATTGAACCAACATTGAAAAAGATTATTTTCAGAACCAGTACACTCCGTGTCGGTCATCCAAGACTTCCCCAAAGTTCGTCCGTAAAGTCCATTTTTCACGATCATGGCTGCTCTCCTATGGAATTTGTAGTTTTAATGTATTGTCTAGAGAGGTAAATCTATGTATCACTGTTTTCATTTACGAAATTATAGATGAGGAGCCAATATTATAACAAATCAAATATAGAGAGAACGCCTATTAGCTAATAAGCTGATTTGTAGGGCAAATGTTGCTTATCGTTTTTAAATAATAAAACAAATTCGCTGACTTTATACTGACCGTCATCTCCACTTTATAATTTAAAATTTGAAAGAAAAAGGATGTGTTTTTCAAACACAATAAACAATAAATTCAATCAAAAGGTTAAAGGTTTTGCGGACAAACAGACAGACAGGCAGCTGGATAGACAGACGGACAGACTGGGTTAAAAGCAGAAAATTGTCGACTACAGGGGTATAAAAACAATTTCATTGACATCTGTACACGTCTGACCAATAAGTCATTCTCAGAATATCTTTTCAAGTCGAAATTCATTCAATCTGGATCATAAGCGTTTAACCTTTCTTTCCATAAATAAAAATGTTCCCATCATATAATAATAGTTATTATTCTAATATGTATAAATATAAAAAATAAAGTTTAAAAACGTCAAGCGCCCGTGATCTTGACGACACGGATCAAACAAGCAAATTCAAAGAACTGTGATCCACCACTTTTGGTGTCTTAGTGGATGAAATGCACCTATTTATGGCAAATTGTGTCAAATATTAACGCCATATCATATGCCATACTATGTTATCACCAAAGTTAATCGTTGATGCCCCGGCATACTATATTAATTAGACAGCGATTCCTTAAAACATTTCGTTATTGAAAATGGCATCTCCAACTACCTAAGACATCGCTTGTTAATTACATTATTCATTGTTATGACTGCAAGATCGCGATCATTGCAAAATATACTGGAAATATGATTTTTTATGAGTACCACCATGTTCTTTGGAGCATATGATTTAGTTAACTGATGATGAAAAGTATGGTTCCGAACATGAAATTAACGATCATGCAATAACCATAAATTATTATAAAACAATTTTTTTTTTCAACTTTCTTTTTTCAGAAAAACATATAACAGATTTACCAAGGTAAGTCCTGAGATCGACAGACAAGTCTGGCCGCATGATAATTCCATCCGTCCGTTTCCACTGACCCCCAGACATCTTGAATCTGAACCTCCACTCGACCAGATATATTGGAGCCTCCAACCAACCTTATACTGGAATTAGCAATCTCTAATCCTGAAAAAAAGTTTTTAAACATTAAGAACTTTGGAATACATACATGGTTTCATTTCTCGTACATTGTGTTTGATAAATATTAGTTGAATTCGTTTGTTATATCATTTTTACATGAAAAGCATTGTCTGTCTTTTTTCGTTGTATGTTTATATCTTTAGTTTTCCAACTATTATGAAAAGCGAAGTTCGTCTGTCTCTTTCGCGAACATTTCTCGTCGCGAACCGGTACCTAAAGTCACTATGTTTATTTACAACAGATCGAAAAAGATCATATCGCGAAAATTAATCGTCGCCAACTAGTTTACCCTTGGTAAATCGCGAAATAAAGTCGTCGCGAATAAAAGTTGGTTTACAGTAAGTGAAAACACTAGAAAACACTAGGTAATAATTCAATATGTATGATTTGAAGTTTTAAATCAAAGGAACAATTATATTTGAATTTTAAATTGACATTTCTAAATAAAATATCACATCTTTTGAAGGATATACATTTCTAAATAAATTTTATGTCACACCTTTTGAAGGATATGGAGATAACGAACAGTATTCAATATCAAAGTTCATAAAAACAATACAAAATAGGAGCAGAGCAAACACGGACCTCTAAAACATCAAAGATGGGATCAGGTGCCACGGAGGAGTGACCATTCCGTGCTGACCGGCCACATCCGCCGTTTGCTTCTTGTCATGATCGGGAAATATTCGTCGTCAATTCAGTGTATAAATAATGGACTAACAATTCTTATGAAAAACGTCAGTCAGCATTTGACTCAATGATAAATTGTATTTGCTGACAAGGTCATTGTATCGACCAAAGAACTTAAAAAATTATGACTTTAAACGAGACTGCTGATATTCTTGTTTCATCAACTTGTTTGTCAATAATTTAACTCGTTTTAGAAATTGTTCATACGTACAGCATGTTTTTGAGTATCTAATCAACTGAGATATATAAACGCCGTATGCAGGTAATCGAAGGTACAGTACATTGTTGCATAGGTAAGGGAAGTTGACGATAGAAAAGTTAAAGTCATTACGTTTATCATAGAGCTTGGTTGTTAGATCTTTTTCAAGTAAAATATCCAAGTATGAAACAGATGTGTCAGACTATGTATCTTTTATCTCAAGCTCACCAGGATATATCGTATCGACATAGGAATGGAAATTACCATTGTTAATTGACAATAATTTACGTCGTCGATATATCTAAATGTTGAGTTGAAGGCCACAGCAAGTGTTTTCTTCTATTCACGTATAAGATTTTGCACATATTCTGCTTCATATAAATTCAAATATAGGTCTGCTAATACGGGAGTGCAATTGGTACCCATGGGAATTCCAATAGATTGTTGGAAGACCGGGTCTCGAAAAACCACATACATTTTGTCAATCAGAGACTCAAGAATCATTTTGATGTCAACTTCAGAGTACTTGTGTGTGCAATCAGAATGTTTTTAACAAAATCGCTTTTGCAAATGACCAATGACCAATGATAAATTTAGCTGAGTTCCATTTTTATTGAAAAAACAGCTGTCAATGATATAAAAAAAAGCCTGGACTTTAATTTATCGTGGGGAATGGTTGTGTATAAAGTTGAAAAGTCGTAAGTTTTAAAGCTGTTAACATGGTTAATTTTGGTAAAATCTTGTGATTTGAAATTGTCCAAAAGTTCTTTGGAAATTTTGAGTATCCTCATCTGATTCACATCACTTCTTGAATATATTGTTGCACAGTACTCTTGAAGTTTTTCCTTCACTACTGTCAATATCTTAGTGAGAAATAAAGAGGCTTGGTTGAACATTTAATGGAATCCACAATGTATATTTGTTTGTAAGGATTCTTATGAAGTTACGGAATCCAATGCATGTATATATATGGTAGTTCAAAATCATTTTGGTTCTTCGAGATATTAAAATTTTCAAAACAGACATATGATTTTGAAGAATTTCTTCCATAGAAAGGGAACTATGAGTATAAGTTGGTTTACCACTTGTAGAACTGAATCCAAGTTCTTCTAAAATACAATTTATATAATGAGCCTTACAATCGAATACAATGTTGATACCTGCTTTGTCAGCAGGGCGAATACGTATACTGATCATGTAATCTATCTAATTCTTTTTTTTCACTTTTGAATTATTGAATACAGAAGGATAAATGGTTTTCATATTGCCCCTCAATTTTTTTATACGCGATTTTAACATGGACTTGATACATGCATTTAATTAATTCTGACAAAGTGCCAACGTCTTCTTTTTCTTAAAATTTCAAAATAAATTACATGTCACACTTTTTGAGGAAAAAATATTGCAATTTGATTCCCAATTAATCTTACAATCAGAAAGGGATTATAGCACAAACACTACCGAGGTAATAATTAACGTGATATGATTAACAATTTGCTTGAAAATGATAATATCCCTGGTATTTTCAGAGAGAGATACATTGTAGCACAAACCTTGATCACAGAAGTAGGCCCTTACACTTGAAGAACAGCATTCTATCAGGCTGAAGGTACACGAAGAAATGGCTGATCGGGAAGAACAATAAAAGTTGTTCAAACATTTGGTTTCATTTCCAACGCCGAACCAGGAGTAGTAAATTCTTCGTAGTCTATAATGAAAATGGAAAGTAAATTGTAAAGATAAAATTATGTCTGCTGTTCTAAATTTTCCATCTAAAGAATGGCAATGTTCGATAAAACGGGGATTATCTACTCAATATTTTGATTCAACAAATTGTTTGTCATACTAAGTAAATATGTAGCTAAAATTGTCATAATTAAATATTTTTTTAAACAAGAGGCCCATGGACCACATCGCTCACCTGAGTAACTTGGGTGATGCAGATTTTACCAGATTCCCCCTCTTGCTATACCTATCATGCCCAACAACCCCTTCCCTTTTTTATTTTAAAACTTTAGAATCTACACTACCCAATGATACTTCCGCATAAGTTTCAGCTTTCCAGGTCCAGTGGTTCTTGAGAAGAAGATTTTTAAAGATTTGCTCAATATTTTTCAATGTAAAACTTGGAATTCCCTATGGTGGCCCCGCCCTACCCCCAGGGGTCATGATTTTAACAATTTAATATCTACACTACCAAAGGATGCTTCCATATAAGTTTCAGCTTTCCTGGCCCAGTGGTTCTTGAGAAGAAGATTTTTAAAGATTTGTTCTATATATTTCTATGTAAACCTTGGATTCCCTATTTTGGCCCTGCCCTATCCCCGGGGGTCATGATTTTAACAATTTAATATCTACACTACCCAAGGATTGTTTCACATAAGTTTCAGCTTCCCTGGCCCAGTGGTTTCTGAGAAGAAGATTTTTAAAGATTTGTTCTATTTATTTCTATGTAAAACTTGGATTCCCTATTGTGGCCCCGCCCAATCCCCGGGGGTCATGATTTGAACAATTTAATATCTACACTACCCAAGGATGTTTCCATATGAGTTTCAGCTTTCCTGGCTCAGTGGTTCTTGAGAAGAGGATTTTTCAAGATTTGTTCTATGTATTTCTTTGTAAAAAATTCCCTTTTGTTACCCCCGGGGGTCATGATTTTAACAACACTACAAGGATGCTCCCACAAGTTTAGCTTTCCTTGCCCAGTGGTTCTTGATTAGAATATTTTTAAAGTTTTGTTCTATATATTTCTATGTTAAACTTGGATTCCCTGTTGTGGCCCCGCCCTAACCCCGGGGGTCATGATTTGAACAATTTAATATCTACACTACCCAATCATGCTTCCACATAAGTTTCAGCTTTCTTGTCCCGGTGGTTCTTGAGGAGAAGATTTTTAAAGATTTGTTCTATATATTTCTATGTAAAACTAGGATTCCCTTTTGTGGCCCCGCCCTACCCCCGGGGGTCATGATTTTAACAATTTAATATCTACACTACCCAAGAATGCATCCACATAAGTTTCAGCTTTCCTGGCCCAGTGGTTCTTGAAAAGAAGATTTTTAAAGATTTGTACTATATATTTCTATGTAAAACTTGGATTCCCTATTGTGGCCCTGCCCTATCCCCGGGGGTCATGATTTTAACAATTTAATATCTACACTACCAAAGGATGCATCCACATAAGTTTCAGCTTTCCTGGCCCAGTGGTTCTTGAGAAGAAGGTCTATTTTTGTGATTATCTCCCTTTGTAAGGGGACTTGGCCCTTCATTTTTACAATTTAAACTTCCCTTTACCCAAGGATGCTTTGTACCAAGTTTGATTAAAATTGACCCATTGGTTCTTGAGAAGAAGTCGAAAATGTGAAAAGTTTACAGACGGACTACAATGTGCTAAGTGAGCCTTCGGCTCAGGTGAGCTAAAAAGCATTGTCAAAGATATGGAGATCTCTCGATTTCCTTGACAGAGATTTTTTCAGTAGATATGAGAGATATACTGACACGCAAAAGAAACGCAACACCCTACTTTTGGGGAAGTAATTATGTAAAGTAAAGAATTTTGTATCTTAAAATTATGGATATCTTCAAATTGGTAAATATCGTTGAACGATTTTCGTACCATAACCGGAAGTCAAGTTTGAGTCTGCTTAACAGAAATCAAAAATTGCATGTTTAACAAATCATTTGGCAATATTATGGGAGTTTTAAGGGTTTATACTGTTCATCTTAAGTAAAGCAGCAATATTTCAAAAAATAAAATCTCCTTTTGTTTCCCGTTACGATGCTAAGGCTTCTCGAAAATGGCTTGTAAGCATTTCCATTGCAGTAACTGGCGTAAAGGTGATGGAGAGTTGATGATGCAAAAATACACTGCATTACGCCTCAACGGGGTCTTATGTATCATATGCATAAATCCAAATTATAGTCCTTCGACCGGAAGTCCAAGTGTTACTACAATGCGCTAAGTTAGAGAAATTTCGACCTAATCATCTCAAAAACTTAAAAATGACAAAAAATAATTCCTTCGCTCAGATCTCGATATTGATTAACCTATTGTATCGTAAAAATTAAGCTGCAATTGTTGTTTAGGACAGTCTTGCACTTTGTAATTGAATGGCTGGGAGGGTGGTGTTTTAACAGTCACATGTTACTTAGTAAAGTTAAAAGATAAACATTTAACATATTAAAAATATTTTATCAAATCCCTGATGTTCTGAAAAGTGAGTTTAGCCTTACTGTATTCTTTTTTGATTGTATACTGTTTAACGTCCCTCTCCAGAATATTTCACTGATATGAAGACGTCACCATTGCCGCTGAAGGGCTGCAAATTTAGGCCTATGTTCGGCACTTACGGCCTTTGAGCAGGGAGGGATCTTTATCGTGCTACACCTGCTGTGACACGGGGCCTCGGTTTATACGGTCTCATCCGAAGGACCGCCCCATTTAGTGGCCTTTTACGACAAGCAAGGGGGTACTGAGGACTTATTCTAACCCGGATCCCCTCGGGGCTATTCTTTTTTGAAAATCATTAGATAAAAAATTCAAACATTTGTAGATTACTGCTTGTTGCGTTTCTTTTGCGTGTCAGTATATACATGTATTATTCTTTAAGGGATACGAAATCTCTTTTTGATATCTCCTTTTGATGAGAATTCAGCTATAAGTATAACATTGTAACTTTACTTTAGTAATACCCGATATCTTTTGATATTGATTTTAAGGATATCCGATCCTCAGCCAGGAAGGATAACTCCAAAAATTAATATAATTTGAAATGCATCAAAATGAAGCTTACATGAAAACGAAACTGTTTCATGAAACAATTTTCATTTTATTCATCTTTATAAGATTCAAGGTTTTTGGAAGTCTAAGAAAAGGTCTTATAAAAGTTGACATTTGTACCCTATAAAAGGAAAAAAAATAGTACAGTATTAGAAAAATCAGATTTTCTTGAATCCAGCCCTAGATACCAATGCTTATTAGCATGATATGAAATGAGAAGTGATTTGTGGTCTTTTGCAATGATAGCAACAGCCTTTTACACTATGTATTATAGAATACATGTCAGAAATAGAAGACAAAAAATACCAAATAATTAGTATAAAAATCATGACCATTTCTCTGAATGCCTGGATACCTATCGTTGTTTAACCTAAAATATATTTGTTGATCAATTTGCAATTAGAAAATACATTGTTGATATTCCAATTCGCTTTTTCTGCAAAAATATTGGAGATTTGACAATTTTCCCTGTATAATATGATTAACTTTAATCTTTAACTTTAAAGAAATACTGTGGATAAATTTACATAAGGACATGAGGATCGGACTACTTTCAATAAACAAGCGAAAATTAATCGTCGCAAACTTGTTACCCCTTGGTAAATGATGATATAACGCCGTCGTAAATAAAAGTTGGTTTACAGTATGTATAACCTCTGCAATGATTGATTGATTAATTGTATGTTGTTTAAAGTCCCTCTAGAGAATTTTTCACTCATATGGAGAAGCCACCACTTGCCGGTGGGGAGCTGCAAATTTTTGTCCTATACTCTGCACTTAGGGCCATTGAGCAGGAAGGGATCTTTTTCGTGCGAGCACCTACTGCGACACGGGACCTCGGTTTATACGGTCTAATCCGAAGGACCGGTCTCCACGTCCCACAGTGGGATTTAAACCTGCGACTAAAGGATTTACTCTTTACTTCGCGACTCTAGAGCAGACGCTCCAACCACTACGCCACGCAGGCGATCTCTGCAAAGAAAATTTATGGAAACTACAAATAATTGGATTTTTTTAAGTCAAAGAGGCATAACTCTGTCTAAAGTGACTTGATCGTACCCAAAACAGAGCTTGGCCTAGATTTTTATGATAAATCTGTATGTATACCAAATTTCATTTCAATATGTTCAACCTTTGCAAATAAAATGAAACTGATGGTGGACCGACAGACTGAACGACCTACAGACAACAGAAAAACAAAATGCCTTCTCTTGTTCGAAGGGGGGGGGGGGCATAAAAAGACTGTTCAAAAGCTTGATTTACGAAGGACCTTCAATAAATAATGTCATTAGCTCGATGACATACAACATAGTAATCATATGAAATTAAGCTTGGCTTTCTCTCATTATTGAATCTTTAATGAGTTGATAACAGTTTAAGTGTACACTTTTCATCGCATTATTTCATTGTGAGAAGCTGGAAAACAAGGGCTATTTGAGACACTGCATTAAAAATGAATGGTAAACTCTCGTAAAATAAAACGCTTCATTAAAGCAGCTGTAAAACTTGTTAATGTCCCAAAAATATATTAACTGAAAATGTGAAGTTTACAGCAACCAATGTCTGTTTTATAGACACGTGAACAGGTGGATTTCAATGAACAAAAATTATATAATGGGCATCAAAAATGGGTACCCTCCTTGGCAACAAGGACTTAAAACAACCAATGTATATTTGCAAAAATTCAACAAATTATCACTGATTATGTTTTATTGACTTTAAGACACATAGCAAAATTGATAGAAATCATTTTGGGGGTAGTTCACACTGTTTTAAAGAAACATTTGATAGTAAAAAGTAAAAAGTTTACTACGCAAAGGCCACCCTATATTTTTAAAAATGAGTGAAAACGACAGGGTGTAGGAATATCTAAACAATTATTTTTAAAAAATCAAATATTGTACTTAACCACGTTTGTCTAAAATTCA